TGGAAAAAAATGTACTGAAGTCTGTTGGTTTCTTATACATACATATTAAGATACGATTTTTAAGTGATGCAATGGTTTGGCTGAGGAAGGCTGTGAGCTATTCCTCTGCGTGTGGTCCATTTCTGAGTAAGAGAGCAACTGCCTGGCCTTTCCTACTTTCTGACCAGAGTTAGTTCTCTCTTGGAAGAGAGTAATCCTTGGAAGAAGCATATGTTTCCTTGATACCACAAATGTTTGTAAGACATACCAATGAAACAGCTGCACCCTGCAGTTAAAAATCACCTCTTGACTGAAGGCGGCAGACACTAATGGTAGAAGTTTCACTTTTACTGTTTCTTTAGGCCCAAGAAAAGGGCAACAATCAAAGCATCCGGATATGATGTATGCCCTCAACAGTAGATTTTATAGGAAAGAAATTAATTCCTACAATGTCACTTCATGAGTGACATGATGTCACAACAAAGACCAAGTTGACAACATACACCCATTGGAGTTAGAAGGCACCAAGGACAAGACCAGTGCAAACTCCATAAAGGTCTACTGCCTCCCGAGTTCAGTGGTGGAGTTGGCAGGATGCGGGGGAGAGTGCTGTGAAGCAGCTGTTATGATCCAGAGGCTGTTGAAAGCAGATGTCCATATGGATAGAGGGATGGAGAGAGGGTGGAAGCACTAGTTTTTGAGCATTTTACATTGCTAAAAAGCATCATATATAGTATCAGTGATCATGATACCATGGCCTACAACTGCAGCCACATGCAGGACACCCTACTGCCAATCCTCTGCCTTCCCAACTTAAAGGATTTTCCCGAGTTCATGGTGAACATTTTATTGAGCAAATGGCCCAATCTAAGTGTCCTGCAGGCCTCACTAGGATAAAAATGTATTTAAAACATATAGATTGACAGGTTCTGTTTCAACAGAGCAAAACTTGAAGAAAAAGCTTTATATCAGGCATTTCTCCCTGTGAATTGAGATTTTTTTTTGAAAATACTACTCAACAAAAGAAAGATTATGTGGTTTTTTTTTGGTTACTTTATTTATGACTCAACAGCATATATCTGTCACTGGAAAAAAAGACAAAACCCAAGAGAACAGTTTGATAAAGAGATACAGCTTTCAGTGAGAAGAAAGTTTTTAAATCTCCAGCAATGTACTCAGCAACTATAGCATGGCAAAAGAATTGATAGATCACATCACGTGCAGTTGTTACTACAAAGACTTACAGGTTGCTTTAGTGAATGCAGAAATTTCGTTTATCTAGATCAGCCATTAACTGCTGCCATGGATGATAACAAAGACAAGTTTGCCATGGCATTTTAGAGAGCTATGACTGCTCTGAATGACAGCTTTATTAGCTTTCATATGCTTCTGTAGGAAAGTGAAAATCAAAGCTGAAACATCTCCTTGCAAGATGTTCTAGCCAGGCAAATGTAAAACTTTACTGCAGTTAGTTACTACTATTCTAAAAATAAATTGACGTTGGTATGTATGCCATGCTGACAGTATCACACTTCAAGAACTAAAACAGAGTTGATAAATCTGCTAATTCCTGCCTAAGCTTGGACACATCTTCCCAAAAAGCTAGATAAGCTTGTCAAGCTCTACAAAGCCATTAAGACCTAATGACATTCTTTGTAAGAATGGTGGTTTGCCAGAGTATCCTGGCTAGATCTTCCTTGGGCAGTTAGATGGGAACAAGGAAACAGACACCCATACTTCTGCTGATACTGCACTGATGCAGTAATATTGCTTTATGCAGCAAATAGAGAAGGTGACAGTAGAAGATAAAGTAGCAATTACTTATGCGCTGTGGGCATTACAAGAAAGGTGTTTTGAGAGAGAATCCAGAAGGTGAAATTCGCCTCTAGGCAAAGGGCCAGCACAAAGCAAAAGACCACAAAACTAACTCAAAATGATGCTTAAGTAATTGATGGGCCCCATGCCAGTCTTGTAGGTGAAGCTGCATTTCATCCTTAAATTAAAGAAGGAACATTTAAGAGAGCCAAATATAAACAAAGTACCCATCAGGTTAGGAATATGTGCAGCAAAGCAAAGGAATGGCCAGTTGCAAGGAGACTAGGTCAAGTTGGGGGGAAGGACAATAATATATAAGTTGAAGTATTTCGTTGCCTGGCAATTGAAGAGCCAACAAAGAAACTATAAAAGAGGCAATGCATTGGGCATAGTGTTTTAGGAGGAGCCTTTTGTAGAATTGAGTTGGTTCATTTTTCTAAAGAGAGTACCCTGTAAGAGTAGAAGTCATGAGACCAACTAATAAGGAGCACTTCCCACTCAAGATGGCAAAACCAGCTTTCTCAAATCAGGCATCTTAACTATCCAGAAATGGACAAACCAACCAACCTTCAGTGATTGTTTGAAAAGCACCAAAATGCAGTTTCTCTTGAAAAAATATATTCTTACTGCATTTGGATGTTTGAAAGACATACCGCATCAAAATATCTTATGCAACAATCCAAAGCTATATATTAACTAAGCATTAGTTTAGGTTTTAAAAGTCAAAGTGAATGTGTCAAATGTGGTGCTATGCTGGTGGCGCGTTCCATTCTTCAAAACAAGAACATCTGTAGTATTTACTCTTTCTCATTCTCTCCCAGTAAGGCAGCACGTGTTGCTGTGTTAGTGCTGGGACTGCCACTGCACCTAGGCTCACTCGCCACGCTTATCAGTCTTCTGGACTAGGTATATTAGGGATGGTCTTAAGCAGAACTTTTATTTGAAAGGATGCAGATTTCTACTGTAGCATCAGCACAGCATGACACCACTGACTATGAGATGAACTTTCTCTCCAGGCAAAATGGCTTTTTGAAGGGAAGATCTTTCAACCAAATTTGTAAGAAAATTTATTGTTTTACTTTTTTTTCCATAAGCTTCCTGAGGAAGCAATTAAGTGTTTCTTTGAAACTATTCCATTAAGACTACCAAGACAAATTAAAAAGCATTATCCACTTTGGTACTGCAACGAAGTTCTGAAAGAAGCATCCCCTCCAGATTTTGGGGTCTGGATTTTATTCCTTGCAAACCCAGATTTCCCCCCCTCAAGTGGATGCAGCAAAATCTTTGGTGTTTGATGAACAGCAAAAAGCCTGTACTTTCTTTTAGTTACACAACGTTGCTAGGGAGACGGTGTAAATACAATCAATCACAATCATAATTTTGTTGATTTGCATTTCCATGTGAAAGTCCTGAGTATACAAAGCAGAACACTGGAATAATGACAATAGCATAAAATGCTGCCAGACTCATTTGCAACACTGTGTAAAAATGAATAATTAACAATGCATACACAATTACATAATGAACAAGCTCTTCTTGGAAAAATTAAACATACTGAAAGTTAAAATTACATCAAAATTACACAGCTGATCCTTGTTAAGCAAGTAACAGTATAGGTATACCTTGTTCAAACAACCATGCGATGTCAGCCAGCTCTCCTCAAACTTCAGTGATAAGCTGAATTGGGAGGAAGACACCCTGCACTTTGCCTGTCAGCTCAGCCTTTAGAAACAGCTCACAATGGCTTGTAATGAAGCGTGCATTTACTGTATTCTTCTTAGTCTTTAAAAATGCTAGTATTCAGAGTTTTCCCTAGAACAGATACTTTCTTTGTACTGAAAGAGATTTGCTGTTTCTAATTGTAGGTATGCTTTCTAGTAGTGATTTTATGATACTTGCTAATGGTGATTATTTGTGGTAATCTGTAATAAAGTAGAGAAATTCAGAGGATAAAGCCTCAGTGTCCTTGTGTATTACAGAATCCTATGAACCCACAGTTGTGCTCTCTACACACCTGCAGGCCAAGTAACTTTTTAGGTTGTGACGATTGCTTATTAAAACTATTCTTGTATTTCATACCAAAGACATGGATAGAATCAAAGGCAGAAAACAGAGTATTACAACATGACCATACAGCACGTTAATGGATGAAGCACACACAAAGTGTAAATGTTCAAGGAGGCAGTGAGAGGTTGCACATTACGTATTGCCTGGTCTGTTCGGAGGACTGGCGCACATACTTCCTCTGGGGCTGACTACTGCTAAATAGCTGAGAAGGCTCCGATGTGCCCTTTCTGGACTGGCATATCTCCATTCCTACTGGCATAAAGGCACCTGGCACCTGGGACAGCCTCAAGAATTACAACCATAAAAATGATGAAGTTTTTTTAATACTATTTTTACTTATAAAGTAACAGAGACATTTAGGATCCATTTTCTGTGTCTATTTTATGTCCAAAACAAAGATTGTAAGATTACATGAACACACTGAGGCCACACATTCCCCCTAATTTCATCTCTCAGAATTGCACAAATATGGCCTGACTTCCACAAAAGCTCTGAGAACTAGTCACACTGTAAAAAATAATTTGCACCATAAATCCATATTACCATCTGTGGCAGGGTTAACAGACCTACACCAGGGTATTTAGAAGCTATCAACACACTTCTCTACTTAGATCACCAGAAACACAGTATTGATGGGAAACTCTACGGAAACTTCTTTCCACAGTATGTCAGACAAAGAACAGGCAAATAAAAAGCATTTTCTAAAACATTAATGGGTTTTGTTTGTCAATAAAAAAGAAGCTCTGCCACAGGCATTTACAAAAGGATGATGCAGAAATTGAGATTAATATTTTGGTAAGCCTTACTGCCAGCTTAATATTTATAATTAAAAGTAAAAAAATAACCTAGGCATGTTGCTACACCAATTGTGGGAGTTTTTACCCCATTAAGTATTGATGAGAACTTACATTCTTTACCAATGCCAGTAGCAACTCATTTTACAAATGCAAATTAATTTTTTTTATTCTTTGTGAGCATGTTTTATGCCTGTGCTTTATATTATACTTACATAAGTATAATATAAACTTAAAATACAACTTATACTTACATAAGTATAATATAAACTTAAAAATATAACACATCAAGACTTGCAACAAATCCGTGACGTGTTATGAAAGTACAGTAATAGAAATGCCTACCTTTTTCAAGAACCGTACTCCATAGGTAAATATATAGAGGTAAAATGTGAATCTCCACCTGCAAAAGGTACGAGAGATTAACTGTAAGATACAGGTTTACATACTTTACAGCTCAACATATGATTTCTTATAGCACTGCCAAACCATCACACCCTGTTCACATCAACAGAAGTTGAAGCAAAATTTTGGTCTGGTCTTCTACAGCTTTTGTTATCAAGCACTGTGCTCATTTGCCTGCTTTTCCCACCTTCCCACCAGCCCTCTGAAAATAGTGCCTCATTTCACCTAAACATGACAAAAAAACACATTTTCAAGGATAATTAATTTTTTAAGTTTCATGAAAACTAGCGTGGCAGTGGAGGACAGAGGACAATTCTCATGTGTATTGCAAGGAAATTCACTTGTTACTAGACATCAGGACAGTGATAATAAAAAATTGTATTAAGTCTTTAACAGGTGATTTTAGCATGCTGCACATCAAATACAGTCTTTAGTAATGAAAAGCACCATCCACAATGACCTTGAAATTCACTTAGTGGATTCCAGCACTTCACTCATGGTTCTAGGGACAGCATATGTGTCAGACAGATATGATGGATACAGGCATATATCCACAATTTATGTCCACTTCCAAGGAATTTCCTTAATAAAGATGATTCTACATTTCCCCAAGTACACATGAAATAATTGTTAGGCTTCTAGCTTTCCTTTTCAGATAGAGGCAAACTAGAAGCTAGGACACAGGAAATAAGAGAGAAACCATCAGGAGGTTTAATACACAATCATCTTCTCCTCTTCCTCTATGTCTTTCTCCCTTCCCCAGTAAAAAAAGGCATACAGAGCATCTTCCTACCTTTTGGACCCATTACTGGCTTAGGAAAGAAGAGTTAATGGAATTATGAGGAAATAAAATCAAAACCTCATGCAATGTAAATTCTTAGAGGAATTCCTGTTTTGTTTCTTTTTTCCCCCAAGGGGAAAACCAACCCCCAAGGGTTGGAAAGAATACACAAACATGCCTGAGAAACACCAGTGAGGTGCTATTCATAAAGCTTATAGCGGGATGAGATTTAGCTTCCTTAGTGTGAGGCAATACTACAGCATGAATCATCTTCAATTACGTATTTTACAATACTTACAACTTCCTCTCCACTGGGAAAACTATTAGGTTACAGTTAACAGGCATTGAAGAATGTTCAGACATTAATGGAATGTTTTCAAAACTGAAAATGCTCCTATGTATAAGAAGGTTAATCCAAACCTTCCTCTTCAAAGCTACTTTTGCAAGTATTTAGAAAGAAAGTTGTGTCATACATAAATGGACTTCTGACAAGTTGAGTACAGGAGAGTATAAGAACATCAATGAGATTTAAAGTGGTACTTCAGGTGAACAGAAACTCTCTTATCCTGTAACCTCCACAGCACTGCAGAGATTAATTTTTTCAATTGATATGATACAAATACCAATCCCCTCAAGAATTCATTCACACTTAGCTATATGGCTTTCAGCTTTCATGCTGAAAACATTTTGGAGGCAAAATGTTAATTGTGCTGGTAGAAATCTTCAGATCGTGCACATGGAAGAAACAGCAAGGACTACAATATGAAGGATGGTTTTATTTGGGCAGCAGTTTTCTCATTTGGCTGGTCCTACTGCTAGGAAACCTGTAATTTAACTTCAGGGTTACATACCTCTTCTAGTGAAAGTTTGAAGACTGTTGCTGAAAATAAAACTATTAGGAGGGAAAAACTGCCTAACTTAATCTCACTGCTGCACACTCCCAGTGCCCTTATTTCATTCTTAAGTGTGAGCAGTTATGATTCCTCACAAAGAGTTTTCTTGTTTTAAAAATTCTTTCGCTATTACCTTTATTTCACATTTCTCCAAGCAAAATGCATACCATATTTGAGGACATTTGTGGCTTGCTGTTGGGAGGTGCAATATTCCACAGAGGAGTTCAAAGGCACTCTAAAGTATTCAAAATATGTTAAATTTTAGATAGTGGGTTTCAGGGATTTTCCAGTCATCTGGAAGACTCCGATTGAAGCATTTGCTGCAGCTGTCTCCTCAGAAGAAATAAAAAAGCCTTTACCTGAAACAAGCAAATTCAGAAACACCGATTTCCCCGTCTAACTTTCCACCCACTTTCCAAAGTGCTGCCAGTGCCACAGATCTGTACTACAGCCACAGTCTGCCCTGTAGGAGAATTCCTGGAGCTTTGAAAAAAACTCAGAGCCAAGAGCCACCAGGTATTATCTGGGGCTCCCAAAGACAGCCTGCTCCAGCTGTCCGAATGCTACAAAGGTGATATATGCATACAAGTATATGATAATATATGCTATTGGTCGACTTTCCTCTTTTTCTCTAACCTGCCAAACAAGTCTTCTTGGATTGAGTGTCAGAAGGTAAAGGCTCAGAACTGGGTGATAGACAAAGCTGCTCAAAGTGCTAACTTCTTAAAAAAGTAAGTACTATTGGTAGGGAAACAAACCCTTTTTTCAAAACCTATTCAACAAACTTCTCGCTTGGTCAAACTGCAATAAAGAAAAATTCAAAACAAAGCAAAGTTGGAATTGGCCCCCAGCATGTTTGTCATCATTAATCAGCTAACTCCAGTGGTAGCTGAGCTACAAAGGACTTTCCATGGCTCTGTACCAGGCAGCTAGCTGCCTTCCTGTGGGCTTCAAAGGGAAATTCTGCTGCCTCAGTACCCCAACTGGAATCTCAATCCCACACAAGGAAGTCCAAGGAGTTTCCCACATTGTTTTACCACTAATTGTAGGTGGTTTATTGCTGCAATTAAGAGCAAAACGTCCACTGGGCAAGGTCAAATAGATGATCACATGAAGGTTTGAAAGAAAATTGATTTTAAGTTATTAAAGTATTTATCATTATATAGTAAATGAATATATCTGGTCTAACTAGTTAAGTTACTACGTTCAACATTTTAGTAAATGTTGCACATTAACTGCTAACACCAACGACCTTTACAACTGGATATACTCAACTTGTAGCTCTCTTTTAAAATAAAATAAATAAATAAGACAAAGATTAACTACATGCTTGTTATCAACAAATCAACACACACTGAGATCTATAAAATCCACATTAAACTAAATCAGGCTAAGACCATGTACAGAATGAGTGACATTTATGAGACATTACAACCAGAAGAAATATACCTACAACAAATGGTCAAAATTAAGGGATGTTGCTGCCTTCAGCTTCAGCTATAGAATAAAAAAAAAAATAAAAAATAAAAAGGCAAGGAGTCTATCTGTAGTTGTCAGCTGGATGCTGTCAGAAATTCAATGGTAGATACACCAATAATCCTTTGCACAAGGTCACATATAGATCACTATGCCTCTGACCATACCAGGAACTGAATTAGCACTCAGTTCTCTGCTCACTTCTCTACTTTGCTGCAGGAAGCCAGTAACCTAAGACCCTGTTGATGCTTTATTTGCGTATGAGCAGTCCTCACTCCTCCTCAGCCTTTTACTCGGTAGCCTTGCAGTAAGAACATCTGTCAGGCTTTGTGAAACATAGGTTCAATTTTGTTCTCCGTCACATCTCTCACACACTCCTGAAGGTTTTTTTAGCGACGAAGTTGTCCTGTGTAGGACAATCTCTTCTTGAGAAGCTGTTTTGTGTAGCAGAAAATACTCCAAGACTTGGGATGAAGGATACGGAGGAAAGGGAAAGGAACTAGGTTATGAAGCTGCATTATTCACTCAAACTCATACAGGCAAGGCCAGAAGGTATGAGATAAATGTTTCATGCAATGCAGAATCATCCAGCAAGATTACTCCAAGATGAATTCTCAATTCAATTCTCTTACAATAAGTACTCTAAAGAAATCCATCATTCACAATCTACAGCATATAATTCTTTATGTCTCATTTTGGGTCTCACTGCAGCCCACTGATGAAGCGATGCAAGTGGAGGCAAACAGCTATGAGTAGGAATCAAGTCCACTTACAGTACATCCCAGTGTCCAAATCACCTTAGTATTTTGCGAACTTATGCAAAATGGTCTTTCTCTCTGCATAGGACATCATAGAAGCGAAGGCCATCTTTTTTAAGTGTGAGATTATCAAGTTTCATTCCCAACTGAATTCACAGAGTAGTAGTTGATTAAGATGGGTGTTTAACTTGTCCTAGGTAATAGTTCCAGCTCTCACGGTTGGAAAAAGCTCTCAGCCTGAGCAGTCTGAACAGTCACAGACCCCAGGGAAAGGAAAATGTGGCCACTGGCATAAACCCTCTCTAGAACCCTTTCTGGTATCCTGGTTCCAAGGTCCTTCTTGAGCATAACCAGCTCATGATGAACATCCCCAGATCACTGGGGTTTGGGTCACAGCTGGATGTCTGCAATAGGAAGAGCAACAAATTCCTCTAAAGTGATGAGATTAGGAGCAGAGCCCAACAGATGTGGAAAAGCAAGGCAAGATCTATACTAAGATCTATTCTCCCCAGCAATACTCGCTGCCCTATTAAAGCGATACAATGGAGACCACTAGGTAAAGCACCCCATTGTGGGCAACTGCCACATCAACTCACATTTATCCGAGAGATGATGACAGCTGAAGCTGCTCTCTTTCGTGAGAATTTGCTCTGGCCCTCATACTTGAACCACTCTTACAGTCAGTTGTATAAAGACAGAATTGGAATGACCCACATACACACAAAGCATGCTGCTTCAAAGACTTTTTAGGTTAATTTAAATCCAGCAAACCCTTATGAAAGCACTCAAGGAACAAGTGTTTTGGAAGACTTGATCTATCTGCTCACAATAGGGTTTATAAGGCTCACTTTAGTCCTGCACTAACATGCCTGTAAGACTTAAAAATTGAAACAGACTTGCATGTGGTCTGCTCAAGCTCAGAATGAGGGAAATCAGACCTGTTTACGTAAGACCCCTCCGGCAAATCCTTCAGGTTCTGCTGGTGATCACAAAGCCAGTGTTTCAAATATGAGCGCGATACACTACAGTGAAGAGTCAAGCTGAAAATTGACTCTTCAGTAACAAAAATATATATCCTTTTCTAATGTAG